TCCTTTTGCTCCGGGAGACCAGACCGCTGGGTATGCGACTCTGATCAAAGAACTCGAGGAGGATCTTGCTGAGATTACCGGGTTCGATAAAGTCAGTCTCCAGCCAAACTCTGGTGCCCAGGGCGAGTTCACTGGTTTGCGTATCATTCGCGAGTATCACAAGCAGAACACTGACCACAAGCGCGATATCTGCCTCATTCCCGTCTCGGCTCATGGTACAAACCCCGCCAGTGCGGCCATGGCTGGTATGCGCGTTGTTACCATCAAATGCGATAATACCACCGGCAATCTGGACATTGCTGATCTGAAAGCGAAATGCGAAAAGTACTCTGATGAGCTTGGGGCCATAATGGTTACGTATCCCAGTACGTTTGGTGTGTTTGAGCCGAACATCAAGGATGTGTGTCACATTGTGCACGAGTATGGAGGCCAGGTATACATGGACGGCGCGAATATGAATGCTCAGATTGGGCTGTGCTCTCCAGGCGAGATTGGCGCCGATGTGTGCCACCTGAACCTTCACAAGACGTTTTGCATCCCGCATGGAGGTGGAGGGCCTGGTGTAGGCCCCGTTGGAGTGGCAAAACATCTATCACCTCTTCTGCCAGGTCACCCGTGTGAGCCTGGACTAGGAGGAGAGAATGCCATTTCGCCCGTCTCTGGTGCTCCTTGGGGATCTGCCAGCATTCTCCCCATCAGCTGGGCTTATATCAAGATGATGGGCGCTCGGGGATTGACCCATGCTACCAAGATTACTTTGCTCAACGCAAACTACATAATGTCGCGTCTGCGTGAGCACTATCCGATTCTTTACACCAACGAAAAGGGACGATGTGCGCACGAGTTCATTCTGGACATTCGCGAGTTCAAACAGACGGCTGGGATCGAGGCGTTGGATGTAGCAAAGCGGTTGCAAGACTATGGTTTCCACGCACCAACCATGTCGTGGCCAGTGGCTAATACGCTCATGATTGAGCCTACGGAATCTGAGAGCAAGGCTGAGTTGGATCGCTTCTGTGACGCGTTGATTTCAATTCGTCGGGAAATTACCGAGATTGAACAAGGGAAGCAGCCACGAGAAGGGAACGTGCTCAAGATGGCACCGCATACGATGAAGGATATTGTCATGGGTGGCTGGGAAAAACGACCGTATAGCCGCGAAAAAGCAGCGTTTCCTCTGCCGTGGTTGAAATCGAAGAAGTTCTGGCCCAGCGTTACGCGATTGGACGATGCTTATGGCGATATGAATCTGTTTTGCAGGTGGGTTGTTGAGATTTGAGGACAGGACTTTTGCTAACGATGGCAGCTGTGCTCCGGTGGAGACGATAGACGAGATGACGGGAGCGGCAGCGCCTATGCCCACGTAATGGACTTTCACTTCCCCTTCCCCGCGTTACAGCAGGCGTCAACGGCTAGATGAGGCGTGGCTTTTGTTACGAGCCTTGGCGTTTTGTTGGATAGCAGAGCACTGGCTCTCTACCAGTCCATGTGACCATTCAATCCATGATCTGGACTCTTACAAGAACAAGCGTTTGCCCCCTACATGTACGCTTAGTGCCAATGTAACCCATTGCTTTTTCCTCAGGAACCAGCCACCTCCTGGGATGACGGTCATGCCTATTGGTAGTCCCGCGTAAAGCCGGCGTAAATAATGGGGCAACAGCCACGATTGCGTAATAGATGACCTCCACCTCCGCATTCTAGACAGGTGTGATTCGCCTGTCTCTTCCAGAAGCGGCTAGTGAAGAACAAGACGCGGGGTTCTGCGGGGGAACCTTGATCGCTCCCGGCCAGCCGCGTGGAGTGGCGTCGTCGTCAAGCGTCATCGTAAACACCCAGTAGCATAAAGAATGTCCGCGCCCGCCATGGTTTGGGCTACCCTGTTCGATCGCTACATTTCCGCGTACGGGTAGGAGTTGTTCGTTTGTGTGAAAAGGACCGCCGTTCAGCATTGACCTGAACAGCCGAGATGGTGCGTTCTTCCTTGGGTCTTGCGGCTCTGGCCAGTGTGGCCTGCGCCCAGGTCTATGACACTCGCTTTGAAGGCACAACTTGGGATGACGCCAATTGGATCATCAAGTCTACAAACCTTGACCAGGGTCACTATCAGTCCCGTATATCGCTTGCGAATGGTTATATTGGTATAAATCTGGCATCTTTGGGTCCCTTTTTCGAAGCCGATGTACCAGTCGATGGAGACAACATCTTTGGTTGGCCTTTATTCGCCCGTAGACAGAGCTTTGCTACAGTTGCCGGGTTTTACGATTCCCAGCCACAAACAAACGGAAGCAACTTTCCCTGGCTGTACCAGTATGGCTGGGACAGTGCCATTAGCGGTGTCCCTCACTGGGCCGGTCTGCACATCAAATCTGGTGGTAACATCCTGCGTGCCAATACACCTGCTTCGCAAATCTCAAACTTTTCAACTTCTCTCAGCATTTCTGACGCCACCATGAACTGGAAATTCCTGTGGTCGCCGGGATATGGGCCAAATTTGAATGTAGAATACACAGTGTTTGTGCACAAGCTGCGTATTAATCAAGCCGCGGTTCAGCTCAAGGTGTCGTCTGAGCAGAATGCGGAGATTGAAGTTATTGATGTCTTGGAAGGCGAAGCTGCTGTGCGGACGACTTTTGTTGATAAGGGCTATGGGCAGCGATTTCCTTTGATCTGGTCTGCTGTCAGTCCTAATGGTACTCCTAATGTCACTGCCTGGGTCTTTTCCTCGTTGGAAGGTGACAGTTACTGCCGCAAGAAAACCAGAAGACGGTTCGAGGATAGTAGTCTGATTGGAACCAACAGCTCTTCAATCGCTCAGAGCATGAAAGTCCATCTCAAGCGCGGCGAGACCAGCACGGTCACAAAGTACGTTGGTGTTGCGTCTACTGATGACTTTGCGCAGCCAAAGGAAGTGGCCTGGAAGGCAACTCGTCAAGCTGCAGAAACTGGCTTTGAAAAAATGCACAAGTCCCATGCGGCTGAATGGGCAAGCATTCTGACCAGAGACTCGGTCGATCGGTACTATCAAGCAAATGGGTCGCTGCCGCAGCAAGTGAACGATGAAAATATTGTTGAGCTGCAGATTCTCGCTGTCACGAACCCGTTCTTCCTGCTGCAACAGACTGTCGGATCAAATGCCATTGCTGCTGCGGGCAACAACACTGGGCTGGGCACACACAGCATTTCTGTTGGTGGACTGGGAAGCGATGCCTACGCGGGACAGATCTTCTGGGACGCTGATGTCTGGATGGCACCTGGTCTTCTTCCAAGTTTCCCCGAGGCGGCTAAGCAGATTGCCGAGTATCGTGTGGCCAAATTCCCACAGGCTCGGGAAAACATCAAAACGGCGTATCAGTCTAGCCAGAACAAGACGGGCAAGTTCTCGACCGAGGGAGCAATATTCCCGTGGACCAGTGGAAGGTATGGCAACTGTACCGCCACCGGGCCTTGCTTTGACTATGAATATCATCTTAATGGTGATATTGGATTGGAAATGTACAGCTACCTCGCCCTTACCGGAGATGCTGCTCTGTTCAAGAAGGATTATCTCCCCATTTACGACGCTGTGGCTCAGATGTATGCTGATCTCGTCACTTGGAATGAGACGTTGAAGGCGTACGAGTTGTACAATGGAACTGATCCTGATGAATATGCCAACTTTGAAGACAACATTGGCTTCACCATGGCGTTGATGAAGGTGCACATTGACTCGGCTAATGATCTTCACACTCGGTTTGGTCTGGATCGAAACGAGACTTGGGCCAATATCTCGTCTCAGATTTTGATTCCTGCTTATGAGCCAGCGAATATTATCAAAGAGTATGCAGATATGAACGATACTGTGGAAGTGAAGCAGGCCGATGTCGTGCTTGTTGATGACTTTCTCAACTGGCCGAACAAGTACACCCTCAGTGACTTGGACTACTATGCTGGGAAGCAGTCTCTGAACGGGCCTGGAATGACGTACGGAGTGTTCAGCATTGTTGCCAATCGGGAATCTCCTTCAGGCTGCTCTTCATACACGTATGATCTGTACAGTTCCCAGCCCTATCTCCGCGGGCCGTGGTTCCAGTACAGCGAGCAAATGTTGGACGACTGGCAGACAAACGGCCACACGCACCCAGCCTACCCCTTCCACACCGGCATGGGCGGTGCCAGCCGCATTGCCATCTACGGCTATCTAGGACTGCGTGTCATGCTGGATAGTCTCAGCATCGATCCCTCATTACCTCCTCAAATCCCCCAAATCCACTACCGAAAATTCTACTGGCAGGGCTGGCCCATTGATGCCGTCTCCACCCAAACCCACACCACCCTCAAACGTCTTCAAGGTCCCTTGCCCAGCGCAAACCAGAAATACGCCGATTCCATCCCAGTGGCCATTGGCCTCAACTCAACCACAAACCTCACCCTCACCTTCTCCGCCCCTCTAGTCATTCCCAACCGCCAAATCGGCAATATCAAATCCGTGGCCAACAACATCGCGCAATGTCTTCCCGTAACCTCCAACCGTCAATACCGCCAAGGTCAATTCCCCCTCGCGGCCGTCGACGGCGCTTCATCAACAAAATGGCAGCCCATCTCCGCCAACGAATCCTCCTCCATTTCCATCCACCTCAGCGAACCCTACGTCCCAATCAAAGAAGTAATGCTCGACTGGGCGCAGTCTCCACCGAAATCCTTCCGTCTCGTATTCACAAACACATCCGCCGACCCAGACACTACAGAAGGAACCCTCTTCACCGAGGACAACAATGTCAAAATCTCTAGCCCCTACGATGCGGTTACAGCATACGTGATCAAACCTGTCGGTGCGAACACGACGAATATTACAGTTGACACGCCGAAGTGGAGCGGCAAGTATGCGATTCTGACGATTGAAGGGAATCAGGGCGATGGGGGGGTGCTGGGTTACGGGGCGAGTGTGGCTGAAGTTGCGATTGTTGCGGAAAATGGGAGGGATGTAGTTAAGAGGTTGTGAGGCGGGTAATTGTATGAAAGGGCGTGTAGCTCAGTGGTAGAGCGCTCGCTTTGCATTGGTGTGCGAGAAGTCTAGGGTTCGATCCCCTACTCGTCCAAGATTTTTTTGGGGGTTTTGGGGGTGGAGAGTGGGAGTGAGAGTGGATGTCTTCCCGGCTGCGTGGACTGGACATGTGGCGTGGTTGCTTTCGTTGCTTCTGCACACATCCCTGTTGTATATTCGTGCATCTTGGCGTAGAAGTCTCTCCTCTACTATGTATCTGTCCACGGAAATGTTTTGGTAAAGGGGAAGGATGCATTCTCCTCGGCGTTTTCATACACCCTACCCATCCCTATCAACCTTCGAATCTCTACGCCTTCATCTTGACTTTACGATGAACTTCAGACTGCATCATAGATACATCCTCTTCATCCTCTCTCAGTTACTTTCATCCCCATCCACCAATAAATCCCACCACCCCACGACAAAACCTCACCTTCCCCGCCACCTCCCCATCCACGTTATCCCTCCACTCCCCCAACAGTTCTCTGGCTCGTCCCGACGATGTCACGAAATCGCCATGCACCCGTAGAAAAACAGCCATCCAAACCTGCACCACCTCGAACTCATCCCTCTCTTGCAGTCCCCAACTCAGCGCTCGAAGGAAAGGGAGGATTTCACCCTCCCCATCAAGTAGCCTAATCGAAACTTCCGCCGCGGAGGGAGTTGATCGTTTTAGATGAGCGATGATTTTCGCGGGGAGGGAATCTTCCTTTACTGCTCCCTCAACTTCGGGCCCGGATTGGTGGTATTCGTGTAGCAATTTTTTGAACCCATCCTCCCTCCCCAATTTGATAACCCTACTTTCTTCTTTTGCTAAAGCTTCTTCGGTGGGAATCTCCTCCTTCCCCTCCCTCCCCTCCCGCTCCTCCCCCTTCACAGCCAACGAGGGAAGGAAAAAAGGTGCAGATTTCGGCTTCTCAGGCGGGGCGATTGGTCTGTTCCGCCTCCTGATGAGATCGATATATAATAAATTCCGCCATTGCGAAGCCGGCACGTTACTCAACCTCAAAAGCCCCTTCGGGGGTTCCGGGAGGGAGGGTTCTGGGAGGGATATCCCATCACCCTGTAAATCCAAGCCGTGTTCCGCTTCATCTGTAGCTGAAATCAGAGCTGCTTCACCTCTCACACTTTGCGGGTCGGAGGAGAGGAGGACATCCAGCTCCCCGGCAGTGATACTTCGTGAGGCTACCGTCGAGAAGAGGGATTTATTACTCCAGATTTCTATCCCCACGGAGGATTGTGTCGCTGCCGCGAGATATTCGTCAGTGGGTGAGAATGCTAAGCTGGTACAACCCCCCTTGAGGGGTAGACAGTCGACTAGATTCCCGGTCGGCAAATCCCAGATTAGGATCGCGGTGGAGATTGTTGCTGCTACCCACCGCCCTGTTGAGGAGAATTTTACGGAGTTGATTGGTTTGTTGAGGAGGGTAGGGATGACTGGTCGGGAGGGATGCAGTTCGCGAATTAGCCTGTGTGTTGAGACGTCGACGACGCGGATGGATGTATCTCTGCACGCTAGCGCGCAGAGGTTGGAGATTTTGTGGAAGTGGAGGTGGGCTATGGGGGGGAGAGTGAGGGTATGCTGTAGCTGCCCGGTGATGAAGGACCAGAATTTGAGCGTACCGTTCGCGGAGGCGGAAATGAGGGTTTGATTCCCGCTTGATACCGCCAGTCCTACTATAGGGGAATTATCTCCCTCGTCGTTGGGTAGGGGATCGCCCTTTTTGAGACGCTTGGGGGGGAAGCGCTGCCGATGCTGGCCGGACTGGAGATTGTACGTGTCGATACTGCCTTTGAAACTGCCTACGATGGCAAACGTCCCGCAGGATGTGATAGCTACGGAAGAGACGGGACTTCCGTCGCTGGTTGTGAAAGCCCATCGGCCCGCTTTCTTTCGACCCCAGAACCACGTTCGAGCTTTGTTATCGTTTAGGTGCGCAGTGATAATGGATTCCCACCCCGTCATGGCTGCGGTTTCGGCGTTTTTGGATTTGGGGTTCGACCAGATGGGGTGTTTGCCGGGTAGTGAGCCCATGCCGCCGTCGCGGTTGAGGCTGCATGCTATGGAGACTATGGGCGGGCATTTGAGGTTTTCGCTGACATTTCCAGAAAGCAGACCCTTCTTCTTGGCCTTGCTTTGGATAGCACCCTGGCTGATTTCTGTGCTTTGGCCGTCACGACGTAGTGACCACGCCCAGAGACTGCGGTCTAGACTGGCGGACATGAGCCATTTTCCTACATCGTCGGAGCCGTCGGATGCTGAGGGGAGGAATTCGAGGTTGGTGATTGTTGCGCCGTGGCCTGCTCTTTGGTGTAGAAGGCGTGGGATCGGGGAAAAGGGGGAGTTGTCGAAGATCCAGGTTCGAAGACTATTGTCCATTCCGCTGCTGACGAGAAGAGGCTGTCCAGATAGGAATTCGATATTGCTGACGCCCGGGGAGCCGTGGGCTGAGCGTAACACGCCGGATTTACGGCCGCCGTCGTTGAGATCCCACAGAGTAATATCGCCCGAGTCGGATGAGGCTGTAGCCATTACCCCCGCCTCTTGGCCATTGGATCCCGCCCCTAATCCATCTGAGCGGAATGATATAGATGATACAGGCACGTCCTTGGCTACAGACAACTCTATCAGCGTCTCGTCAGAGCGGACGTTGTGGATTAAAATGGGACCGGACTGGTAGGCCACGGCCACGACCGCCAGTACCGGCACATTCTCCAGCGCAGTCACAGCCCCGTAGTCGGCTGATGGTGGCATAATTGTGTAGATAAGACGGCCACTGCTGACGTTCCATATCTCCACGCTGCCATCGTTTCGTCCAACGAGGATTTTATTCAGAAATGTCGGCAGGCTAATGATGCATTTGGTAAATGGAATGGGCGAAACACCACGCAGGGCTGCATGAAGCTTGAATGAAGCCTTCCATACCAAAAGACTCCTCTCACCGACGCCGACAATCCACGCGCCAAAGCAGCAAATGGCCTGAATGTCCTCGTGCCATCCGTCCGGAAGCTCCAGCTCGGCCTCCTTCTTCCCGCGCTTAAACACCCACACGCCGTGCTCGTCGCCCGATGACCACGCGCCCAAAACCTTGTCCCTCCATGCCTGAGTCGCTGAGATTGGTCCGGGAGTCTGCGGGCGCGAGATAAAAACGAGATTGAGGCCGCGGCGCAAGTCGTACGTCTGCAGCGAGCGGCCGATGCTGGTGGTTATCTGGAACGTCTCCTTGCCCAGCGGCACCGATGTGAACGGCACCGATGTTGGCGACACGAGGCCGACGATGCGGTACGGCGCAAAGAATCGGGAACCTCCCGTGACCTTAGACTCGCCATTCGTAAGCTTCTGCCTCTTCGATCCGTGGCTCATGGCCTCTGTCGCGAAGAAATTTTTGGGAAGCGGTGTGGATGACGTAATCAGAGTAGATCAGATAGCGAATATCAGATGGATCAGATGACAGAGTATCAGATGTGACAGTCGATGTCATGGGGATTACATGAACGAGGCAGTTTGGACAGTTTGTCAGCTCTTGCCTCTGTTTTGTCCTGTAAAGAGATAAAATTCCAGCAGTAGATCAACTTTATACCACAAATTCTTCATCATGGCAGACGACAAGTCGAGCAGCATTTCTGATGCACAGCTGAAAGATTTACGGCAGGACAATGCAGGTGCGTTGCAATCCTCCCAGAGCCTCTCCGGCTTGGACAAACTGGGAAATTCTGCTCCAGCTGCTACAACCCCTGCTCCTTCTCGTCCAAGTCGAGATGCCAGGCTGGCTAGGGGTCGTGCTGCAGGAAGCCGTCCTGTTTCTTCATCCATCTCTACCAGTGGCTCTCCCTCGGCTGATCGGCCTCCTCCATCCAACAAGTTGGGCACAATTGGCATCTGTGCGTTGGACTCCAAAGCAAGAAGTAAACCGAGCAGAAACATCCTCAACAGAATCATTGGCAAGGACAGCGAGTTTGAAGTCATCATCTTCGGAGACAAGATCATCCTAGACGAAGACGTTCGAAACTGGCCGCTGTGTGATTATTTAATCTCGTTCTTTTCTGACGGATTCCCACTGGAAAAGGCCATAGAGTATGTCAAACTCCGGAAGCCTTTTTGCGTGAACGATTTGCAGATGCAGACGATTCTGTGGGATCGTAGGCTGTGCTTGGGCATCCTGGATCAGCTGGGAGTGCCAACGCCAGACCGTATTGAAGTCAGCCGTGATGGGGGTCCCGTAATTCTTAGCCCGTCGATTGCCAAGAAGGTCTATGAGCTTACCGGTCTGCAACTGGAAGGCTCTGAAGACGGCCGTGGTGGAGGGCAAAGGCCACCAAAAGATATCCACATGGAAGATGACGACGACACGCTGGTTGTAGACGGTAAAAGATTGACCAAGCCGTTTGTTGAGAAACCGACGAGTGGAGAGGATCACAATATCAACATTTACTTTTCAAAGTCTCAGGGCGGTGGCGGACGCAGGCTGTTTCGGAAGATCAACAACAAGTCGAGTGAAAAGGATGATAGTCTGACAATTCCTCGGGCTGTCACGGACAAGAATAACAGCTACATCTACGAACAGTTCCTTAAAGTGGAAAATGCAGAAGATGTCAAGGCTTACACGGTGGGTCCAGACTACTGCCATGCCGAAACCCGCAAGTCTCCGGTGGTGGATGGCGTTGTCAGGCGGAACCCGAATGGTAAGGAGATCCGCTACATTACTCCCTTGACCAAGGCAGAGCAGGTTATGGCGTCCAAGATTGCCACTGGCTTTGGACAGCGTGTGTGCGGCTTTGATCTCCTCCGCATGGACGACAAGTCGTACGTTATCGATGTCAATGGATGGAGCTTTGTCAAAGACAATAATGAGTACTATGACAAGTGCGCGTCTATTCTGAAGGGCATGTTCATCCAAGAACGGCGCAGGCGAGAGAATTTGACTGCCAGTTCCGGTGAGAGTAATGACGGCTCAGACGTTAGAAGCCCTGACCGGTCAAACCGGAGATCGATTGCCAGCGATCCTCTGACGCTGGAGGGAGTTTTGGGATCTAACACGTCCAAGAAGTTTTCTT